CAGAAGTAGAAGGAGCAGGTTGAGCAGGATCAGGAGTCAAAGGTTGAGAACCACTAGTAGATGACTCAGAAGTGTCAATAGCAGATAAAAGACCTAAGATAGTAAGCCAGTATTTCATCTGATTAGCCCACCATTTATAGTTAACACCGGTGAACTTCTCAGGTTTGACACTTTTAGAATAATCAGGAATTGCCATAAGTCCAATTCAAGTTTACTAGTCTAGGTAGATATAATCTGATCAAATAAAGGATTATTTTGTTAATACTACTAGACCAGAAACTTAATTAAACCTGCTCTTAACCAAAAACTCTAAAAGTGAAAAGATTAAAGTTTTACTCGGGTAGTTTGGCCAGGTAAGGATAGTACTAGAGGTTGATCAATGATCTATTAAGTACCTCGTTTCTTGCAGAGCGCTTTACGCAACCCTTAAACCTTACCTTAGACACCAACTAATCCAAGAAAACTTGAACCGGTTCATTTAAAGATTTTTTGTTTCTTTACTATGAAAATTGACAGATGCAGAAATTGAGTATAGAAGCTACAAAGAAATATTTTTTTTTATTTTATACCTAATTTAGATGCAACAAATTAAAACAATTAACTAATACAACAAGTAATTATTAATATATAAAATTCGGGTGAACAGTAATCCCGATGAACAATATTTTTTCCCCTTTTTTCCTTTTTTTACTAATTAACTTAACAGCAAAAATTATTAATTAATCTTCTAGATTGCTGTTAAAACAGGGATATAAAATATAAAACAAATTCAAGAGTTAGAAAATTCAGGCCTGTTCGGGAACAGTCGTGATATCACTGCCCTAGAAGATTAAGGACCCGCCTATCGTCCTGGCGCAATTTGTCCTCTCTCCCCTAGCGGTAAAAACCCCCGGAATCGGTCAGGCTCTGCACTCGGGCGTGAGTCACAGAGCTTATGCTCAGACGAAAACGGTTGCCCAAAGAATAGAAAATAACTCGGGCGTGAGTCACAGAGCTTATGCTCAGACGAAAACGGTTGCCCAAAGAATAGAAAATATGTAGCTGAAATTTCTTGGAGGTATAAGAATAGAGAGTTTAGAAGATTTCCTCTTCGTTGGTGTGATTCTGAATGAGCTCCAAGCCTCCTTTTATAGGTGATGAAAGGTGTAACCCTCGCTGAATCCAAGGGACCGTTACACACGTTTTTTGCTTCCGTTACCCGCATGCAGTCGTTACAGAATGTGTAAAATGTGCAAAAATAAAAACTTGAGAAGCAAAAGGGTGTGCTTGTGCGGCTGCGGCGAGGCGTGCGGGCGAGGCGTGGCGCGCGCGCGTGTGGTAGATATGCAAAGCCCACAAAACCCAAAACACTATTCAAAGCCCAATAAAGAGAGAACCATTATATACCCTTCACTATTCATCTCATTTCCCAATGTGGGACTATTCACAAAGGCAAAATTGCCTTTTCATGACAAAGCTTCCAACAAAATTATATAAGAACTAGAAAGATCATGATATAAGCGTCCCACAATATATTTTTTTGATGTAAATAACTAATATAACCGGTATAAATAAAATAACAATAAAAGTGGAAATGGTTAAAATAGAAACAAATTACCAAATCAATGTAACATTACAAATCGTTATCTCTAAACTTCGCGTAACCCTGTCACCTCTTGCCTACGTGATTTCCAAGAAATTCCTCCAAAATTTCTAAGGGGCTGTTTGGTTGTATGTTTTTACCATGTAAAAGGATGGAAAGTGTAAAAAAATGGGTCCCAATGTCAGCTTTCATCACTTTCAATTATTTGTTTGTAGTTGTGAAAATAGTGTAAAGTGATTTCATATGCTGATGTGGCTTGTAAAGTGATTTTATAAAAAAAAGACATGATTTTAGGAGAAAGCTGACATTGAAATCAGGAAAAAATAATAAAAAATAATTCCAACCAATATGATCATTTGTGTAGGGACCACTTTTTACACTTTCCAAACAAACAATAAAAGTTACATTTGTAAACCAAACAAGCAATTTATGATTCCAATGGAATCAAAAACAAACAAAGAAAAGTATATAAGTAAAATTGATGAGGTGGACAACAACTTTCCAAGTTGTGTCATAAATACACAACTTTACCAACAACAACCAAACAGCCCCTAAGGTACATAAAGTTTGTCAACCCTGTCTTTTCTTATGTGCGTGTGTTTGTGGAAAATTTGATGTAAAAAGACAATGAAAGAAAAATTGATTTGTATTCTCTCACAATCGATTACAATTGGATTCCGATTACAAAAGAGAGGAGAATGAATTTGATTCTCCCCTTTGTTTAAAACTGGGTTCTTCTTGGTAGCGATGGAGTGCTTCCTTCGAGTGCTTGCGTCGAACTTGCTCTCCGTTGACGATCCGACCGTACTATCTCACGAGAACGATTGATTTGTGTGATGAACTCGGTTTAGAACTCTTAACGAGTATAAGAAACTCAGAACGAGTTGGAAACTCTGAAAAGAGTTGTTGAAAACCGAATAACTGATTGATGTAATTAACCTGCGTTGCAAGTTTAATTACAAACTCTTAAAGGAGTTTCAGAACTCAGAACGAGTTGAAACTCTGTAACAGAGTTGTTAGGACCGAAGATTCGGTTGATAGCCAAGTTGATTCGCCGTTGATGAAGGGATCCCCTCAGATTTGATTTGCTAACTACTGAGTAGTTTGTTGATCTTCAGAGAAATCTCCTCCTCCGTGCGGTTTAGCTGCCGAGATCTGCTAACCTTAAGCGGTTTTAATGCCAGCACACGTCAACCCCTTACTCAGTTGAGTAAGTCGGTTATTTATAGGGGGATTATGGGTATAACTAACCCCTAAATCCGTTTCTAAGTGGGCGAAAATCCCTCAGAACATGAGATAACGGTTTTGAGGCCGTTCGGCTTATGTTTGAACAAGTCAAACGCCTAATTTGGCGTTCTGGACCATAACTCTGCGTCTAAGGCCTGAGACGCAGAGTTAAACCTTTGTCAAAGGTTTGAAACGCACAGGCCGCATGCGTTCTGGAATTGGAGACGCACAGGTCGCTTGTGCGTTGAAATTCAACTCTGCATCAAGAGTTTGGGACGCATGGTTGAGTTTGTTGAAGAACGCACGTTATGTGTGCGTTTGTGCTTTAACTCTGCGTCACAGAGTTAGATGTCTGCTGGAGAACGCACAGTCCGTGTGCGTTTTGTGTTTGGGAAACGCAGAGGTGGGTTCTGCATGGACTCTGCGCTTTGAGTCCACGAACTCTGCGTTTGGAATCTGGAACGCAGTCATGACCTCTGCGTTTTGAATCTGGAACGCAGTCACGACCTCTGCGTTTTGAATCTGGAACGCAGTCACGACCTCTGCGTTTTGAATCTCAAATGAGGTCACGATCTCTGCGTTTTGAGTTTAGAACGCGGGCATGACCTCTGCGTTTTGAATCTTGGATGCAGAGGTGATCCTTAGGTGGGCTCGACGAACTTCATGCTAAGTCCAATGCTCAGGCGAAGTGCAGTCTTACAGACGGACTTCAGAACATAACTTGCTGCGAAGAACGGGTCATAACTTTCAAACCGTAAGTCGGAATTGGACGAATTATATATGAAAATCGGCTATCTCGACGAGACGGAGCCATCCGAACCTAGCCAAAGGCTTCGGTTCGCTTCCTCCGTTTCGCCAAATTCCTTACGGTTTGAGAGATATCTGCGTTTTAATATGAAGAGACCGTCAATTTGTAGTCTCTTTTGCTAGAGCGTTGTAAAGATCGTCACCTTTTAACCTTCGTCTTGGCTCCTTGAAAATATGAGAGTCATCAGATTGTAACTCCCGATGTTGATTGTGAAGGCTGTTGAATTAGAGTTTTCATCAGTTGTCGTGAAGATCGTCAGATTGTAACCTTCAGCGATCTACGTGAAAGTCTTCAAATTATGGCCTTCTGGAAGTCGTCAGATTGTAATTTCCATCATCGGTATTTGATGGGGGATAAGCTATCTATTGTGATTTTTAGACAGCCTACAGCGTGATTTCCAAGAATTTCCTCCAAAATGTCTAACGTACATAAAGTTTGTCACTAGTGGCGGAGCCATAAATTTCTTAGGGGTTTCCCCATATACCTTAACTAGCGTGCACTTTGTGCAAAGCACGACCTCCTATTTTTTTAAACACTGTATTTTGAATTTGTCTCCCTCTAAGTTTTAATGCATTTAACCTAATTATTATATGTTTAAAATTAAAAATCATATCTACTCTTCTATACTTAAAGAATGATTAACGTTTCAATACATTTGATTTAGAAATCATATCTACTCCTTTATACTTAAAGAATGATTCAAGTTTTAATACATTTGATTTGATTTACCGTTTATGATATAGTAAATTACTATAGCATAAATAGCCAAAGGTCCATATTTTTTTTAATACTTGTGTTACGGTATTTACTGTTGCCACGTGTTGTGACTATATATAGAAGAACAATTTTTCTAAACAGACCCATTTTATTTTTTTTTAAAACCGACTATTTTTTTTATTTACCAAAACCGACCCGATTTTGTGATTAGCAGACTAATCACCTTCCTAAATAGTCGGGGTTGGTAACCCCGACTATTTAGGACGGTGTTAAACCCTAATTAGAAGCATTAAATCCTAAAAATAATGTCCTAAACAGTCGGGGTTGCCAACCCCGACTATTTAGGAAGATGATTAGTCTGCTAATCACAAAATCGGGTCGGTTTTGGTAAATAAAAAAAAGAGTGGGTTTTAAATTTTTTTTTTAAAAATGGGTCTGTTTAGAAAAATTGTTCTATATAGAATCTATGTTGCAAAATAGAAAATTCAGTAAGGTTTCATAATGCCAGCGAATACTGCATCGTCCCGCCAATGCCTCTTTTAGGCAGACAAAAAAATAATATAGTCAACAGTACACGTGTCAGTAACAAGCGCGTGCTGCTCACCCCCGTTGACCCAAAGCCCGCGTATTAAAAATCACCAACTACTTTCTTCTTAAAATCTTTTTGAAGGGAGTCGTCCTTTATTACTCCCAAATCTTTATCCCATCCTCTCCATCGGAAAACCACTCCATCGCAAGAATACCACCGGCGGTTTTCCGGCCATCAGGTTAAAATTTTATCTTGGTGTTATTATTGGGTTTTTATTTTTTTAAGAAAAAGACGCTACTTTTCCTGCAAGGCCTATTTTTAGGAACTTTGTGTGTTTTAAGCTGTATTTTCTTTTTCCCTCTTTTTTTTAATGCTATTTTGGAGCTCGAATCAAAGCTTTTCTCTTTGCTACCGATTAGATTTTCAAGCTAACAATTTGGGAAAGAACCTTTTTTTCCCTCCTCCACCGGTTTTTTGTTTTCCTTTTTAACTTGCTATGCATTTTCGGGCTAATTCCAAGAGGCTCTTTTTTCAATGGCGTCACTTGGATTTGGGAATCAACCGATCTTGCTGTTTCTTTTACGCGCAGTAGTTTTTTTTTATTATTGTTTTTGAGTAGGAGAATATTGGGATTCTCAAATTGATTTAGATTAAAAGAGTTTGGCTATGAATCTACAGTTTTTGCTATCTTTTTCTGTCTTTTCTATTGGGAGAGTATTTGGAATCTCAGTTTGGTAGCTAAATGGTAATAATAATTTTTCTATGTACGTATCTAGGGCGAAGAAATGGGGGAAACAATTGGAGTTCTTAAAGTGACCATTGTTCATGGGAAGAGGCTCGTGATAAGGGATTTTACGAGCAGCGATCCTTACGTTGTAGTCAAGGTGGAAAACCAGGTAATTTTTGTATACTAGTTCTGTAATACTTGAGAGGCTCAATGTTTGGATATTTATGATTTAGTACAAAAGCGATGAAAATGAGCTATTTTGATCACTGGATAGAATCTCATCATGTGGCTTTCGATGTTAATTAGCAATCCTTTTGTATCATTTGGTTTTACTTTTGGTGGGAAATGTCGAAGTTTTCAGAGTCCCAACTTCAATTTGTAAGTTAGGTATACATGGAGTTCCTGAATTATACTGTTGTTTTTGTAAGTTACATGTGTTCCGTAATACCTTTTGATAACCTGAGAAAGTAAAACCCAACACAGTTTGGGAGTAGATTTTCATGTGGAAATGGTGAATTTTGAATTCCTCCTGGAACTGCAATTCCCAATTCACAAAAAAACTAAATGGTAGTGTGCTCGAACTTTCCGTGTGAAACCAATCAGAGCACAAATGACCATTTTACTTCTATTTCGGGGCTCAGAAGTCGCTTGTCTGTTGTTTTGTCTGAAGAATTTACATCTGTTCCACACTTTATTTGGTGTTTTTATTCTTGCTAATTTTTCCCTTGACTAATAGCATGCAAGGTTCAATTCGCTATAGTTTGATCACCCTTTTCAACCATTAAAATCAATCTTTCTCCAGTGGCTAAAACTGCCCTTGTGAATCCATTAAAATTTTTAACGTTTCATAGTTTGATAGCATATTTTTGGTAACATTGTGTTTGAGTCGAGTAAACACGTATGGCTCCTTCCACGTTCCACAATTAAGGGATTTCATGATGATACATCAATGTACATAGAACACTAAAAAATTGAAACATGATTTTCATAGAACGTTAGAAGAATCAAATCTATACAACTGAAGGAATTGAGCGGAGATGGGTACAAAAATTCAGGCCTTTTTCGCTTTCCTTTGCCCCATCGGCTTACCTTTTATACTGTCAAAGCTTCACCAGGGTAGGCTAGTGCTCATGTTTCCTTGTCCAATCTGACAAACTTTCAACTTATGTCTATTTTTTATAAAATTGAAATAGAAAATACTTCGATTCATGTTTTAGTCACTTGACTATTTGTGTTTTTATGAGGTGATGGGCTTAGAAGATTTAGATCGCCTTTTGATGCTTCCTTTCTTTAAATTGACCTCGTCACACGATGGGCATATCATACTTTTAAAACCAACACTTACCTCATCCTGATGCTTGTAACATGTCATTTGATGATCTTTCATACTTAAGCTGGTTAAATTCCTTTCACTTATCCAACTCTTTTGTTGAGAAACTGTAGCCTTGCATGCTTTTATTTTGATCTTTAATGTATTCCACTTGCTTACAACTGCATCTTCTTCATTAGACTGCTAAGACCAAGGTCATCAACAGCTGCCTTAATCCTGTTTGGAACGAGGAGCTGACCTTCTCTATAAAAGATCCTCTCAGCGAATTGAAATTGGTGAGCTCCTGAGTTCCTCGTGATTCAATCTTTGAACGTTTGAAAAAATTATTTATCTTGTGATAACCAGTGCTGGTTAAATAGTCTATTTCTAATTTTGACAATTGCCCATTCTTTCTAGATATTTATGTGTATTTATGGCATGCTTTTGACATCATATATATTCCTATTGACAAGGGACTATAGTCTTTACTTCGGAAAGTTGAAGCATAAAAACATAGAGAAAAGGCAATTTGCCATAGTTTAAAGGGAAACAAAAAACCGTCTAAAGGTTTTTGGTGCTTTCGTGGATGTCGCTACTTTTTGACTTGCATATGGCATTCTGCGTTAATTTATTTTGAGGGTACAGAGTCTTTGCTTTACTTAAGTAATGCGGCATTAGCTTAAAAGTCAGAATAAGTAAAGGACAAATCAGTTGTCTCTTTCATATAACACATGTTTTGACTATGTCCATTATGGTGTGTACTTATATCTTACCTGAAAAAAAAACAAGAGTCCATTATTTCAATGAAACCTAATCTAGCGAATAATCCAAAGAGAAAAAAAAGTAGCTTTAGCCATTATCTTACCTTGAAAAACTAATTTTTAGTAGGATGATATGTTGCCACTTCAAATTTGTCTAGAACACCAGCTCTTTTGTTGCTTTCAAGATAGCTCACTCACTTGATCAACTATAAGGCAGCATCATAAAAAATGACTGATGATGCTGTCCTAAACTTACTTATTCAATGTAATAATAGGTCACTTTCTATTGTTGTGTGCATGCTTTCTTTTTCCATTTTACATCCGTCTTACAAAGAATGAAAAGACATACAAGGATGAAAAATGAGACCAAGTAGTTTGATCTGTTTACATGTACGTTGGCTACATACCATTATTGGGAAAGCATTCTAATTATGTTACAGCTCAATTCCTAGGATGCAATTTAGCAAGTCTTGAATGGCTTACCTGTAAATTATTTTGTTTGTGGTTTGTATTCTTCGTGTTACTTTAGACTGTTTAAACATTGGAAATTTCTATCACATGCCACCTGAATTTTTTTTGTTAGATTATTCAAGCAATTAGTTTCTATCTCTATCTGTGTGCGTGCGCGCCCGTGTGCATGTTTGTGTTTTTCTGCATTATGTGTTCAAGTCTTTGCACTTTTGTTCATGGGTGCATCTGTGAGTCTTCGTTCAAGTCTTTGCACTTTTGTACGTGTGTGCACCTGTGAGTCTACGTATATGTGTGCGTGTGTACGTTTTTTTATTTGATGTATTTATTTTTTAGTTTTTTGAATGTAGCTAGTTTGTGTATCTGCAGACCCTATTGGACAAAAATGTTTCTTCTTTTGGAACTGGATAAAATATTTGGTAGGAGTATTTTTGGGTTGGAAAGACCCGTAAAGGAGATGGATTAGACTAATTTAGTTGGACCCAATCGAATCGGAAAGATCAACCCTATTTTAGTCATTAGACTCGAAACATATTTAGGTGTATATCCATCTGTTTCCTCAAATGTGGGACTAAATCACATCTCATGTCTTTTCGCGAATAAAAAAAGTACAATTTATATAACTAGATGGACGTGAGACATCCCAAAAAAATATGCTTAGCATATCATGATTCTAAGAAATGCATGTCACCATATTAATCTTTTCTCCCCATCTTCAGGAAGTATTTGACAAAGATCGGTTCAAATCTGATGATGAGATGGGCCATGCCTACCTCAGCCTCCAGCCCATCATTTCCTCATCCAAGCTCAAACGCGCTCTCCAGCTCACTTCTGGGGAGACCAAGCTCAGGAAAGTCGCTCCGGAGGTCGATAATTGCCTCCTCGATGACAGCTTCGTGACTTATCTTGATGGTGAGATCGTTCAGGATGTTCGATTGAGACTCTGTGATGTTGAATCTGGGGAATTATTTGTGAAGCTCAAGTGGTTCGAGCATGCTCGTAGGAGTTAGTTATGTTTCTTGATGCTAGTTATAAGGGTAAATTTCACTTTAACCTCCTCCTGAACTTTGGGGGATTTCCACTTACCCCATTGAACTTTGCAGTTTCTACATTACATGCCCTGGCATCAGTAATTGTTAATGGTGAAATGATCGAAATGCCCTTTTGAAATAGAACCCCCCTGAAAAGGATTAAAGGGAAATATTAACAAAATTAGGGGTATTTATGCGACCCATCAACGTACAGGGTGTCTGAGGCAAGTTCAAGGGGGTTAAGTGCGAAACCCCTCAAGATTCAGGGAGGGTTAAGTGAAATTAACCCTACCTTTAATTGTAAATATGATGGTGTGTAATGTGGAGAAACCCTTATGTGGGTCAATGCCATTTCCAAGATAATTCATGCAAACAAACACGATTCTGCATTGAAAAGAGCTGTTGTCGGTCCAAGCAGCAGATTGTGGATTTTCTGTACAATTAAGCAAGAAGAGGACTCCTAGCTGTGTGTAATGGGCTACTAGGCTGCTACTAACACTAACGAAGAGAGTATTGTATTTATCAAGGTTGTGTTCTTTGAGTTGATGTGTGTTTTATTTAGGTTAACTGGAGTTGGGGATAATTTTGTGATGCTCCTTTCTTCTGAGGTTTTTGATTCAACTGTGTCAGATTCATCTGGTGCAGTTATGCCCAAACAAAACTTTAATTAGTAGCCTAATAGGCGCTTTAAATTTATTAATATAGTGCACGCTGCTTTCCGCGAAAGTATACCTGTCACGCCCCGGGCCCGTAGGCCCGTTGGCGCGTGCAAGCCGTGTGACTCACTAAGTGTAACGTGTTGTTTGGCTCAAACCACTACCAACATCGACTAGCCGATGTTACACTTGAGTCTTTAGCTTCACTATATAAATGTCTCAATTACTCACATTCCCACCGATGTGAGACTAAACCTTTCCCTTGGAAAGGTCGTTGTCAATCACGTGGGATGTCACATTCACCCCACCTTACAAAGGCGACGTCCTCGTCGCGGCATGATAATTAGCACATCCTAGTATCACCGTCAGGCGATGTGGACTCTAGAGGTGGCTCCTACGGGCTCTAGAGGTGGTTCTCACCGCATCCACACGGTGTAGCACTTGACCACGCATAGCACTTAGCTCCACATTTCCGGTTGGCAACTGCTCTGATACCATTTGTCACGCCCCGGGCTTGTGGGCCCATTGGCGCGTGCAAGCCGTGGGACTCATTGAGTGTAACGTGCTGTTTTGCTCAAACCACTGCCAAAAATGACTAGTCGATGTTACACTTGAGTCTTTAGCTTCACTATATAAATGCATCAATTACTCACATTCCTACCAATGTGGGACTAAACCTTTCCCTTGGAAAGGTCGTTGTCAATCACGTGGGATATCACATTCACCCCACCTTACAAAGGCAACGTCCTCGTTGCGGCATGACAATTAGCACATCCCAGTATCACCGCCAGGCGATGTGGACTCTAGAGGTGGCTCTCACCACATCCACACGGTGTAGCACTTGGCTCCGCATAGCACTTAGCTCCACATTTCTGCCTGGCAACTGCTCTGATACCATTTATCACGTCCCCGGCCCGCGGGCTCGTTGACGCGTGCAAGCCGTGGGACTCACTGAGTGTAACGTACTATTTGGCTCAAACCACTGCCAAAATCGACTAGCCGATGTTACACTTGAATCTTTAGCTTCACTATATAAATGCCTAAATTACTCACATTCCCACCGATGTAGGACTAAACCTTTCCTTTGGAAAGGTCGTTGTCAATCACGTGGGATGTCACATTCACCCCACCTTACAAAGGCGATGTTCACGTCGCGGCATGACAATTAGCACATCCCAGTATCACCGCCAGGCGATGTTGACTCTAGAGGTGGCTCCTACGGGCTCTAGAGGTGGCTCTCACCACATCCACACGGTGTAGCACTTAGCTCCACACTACCGGCTGACAACTGTTCTGATACCATTTGTCACGCCCCGGGCCCGCTAGCCCTTTGGCGCGTGTGAGCCGTGGGACCCACTGAGTGTACGTGCTGTTTGGCTCAAACCACTGCCAAAATCGACTAGCCAATGTTACACTTGAGTCTTTAGCTTCACTATATAAATGCCTCAATTACTCACATTCCCACCGATGTGGGACTAAACCTTTCACTTGGAAAGGTAGTTGTCAATCACGTGGGATGTCACAATACCTGTTTTGTTTTATGTTTTTCAATTTTTTTGTTGGCTGCAAAATAATGAAGTGACTTTTATGTCAATATAAATTCTGAATAAATTACAATTTTACTTAAATGAATAAATTGTACGATAAAAAAAGTGTGGATAAAGAATTGTATGATTATTTACTATAGCTTGTATAATTGTTATAATCTTTTAATAATTAATTGAAATAATTATAATATATTAAGTAATTTCTTCCAAATATAATAATATTATATTTAAATATAATATTTTTTTATAGATTTAGCCTAATTATACTACTATTAGTACATTTGGATTCCATCATTAGTTAATTACACTATTAGCAAAATAATTATTAAATTGTAAAATTATTAAATTATAGTGTAATTTATAAATTAGAAAATATTATTAAAATTATTATACTATTAATACTATTACAGTTATAATAAATATAAATTATTTTCATATTATGATCATACTTTTAAAAAGTTAATAAGATAAAAGGTAACAAATAGTTCTCCATATAAGGTGAAAACCAAAAACATAAGCAAACATAAGCGTAATGAATTTTTGTTAGTTTTATTTTTTTAAATTTTAAATATCATGCGAAAATAAATTGGGGATAATTTTTAAATTTTTTATTAAATAACATAATTAAATAATAAAATAACCGTGTAACCAAAGTTTTTAAAAAAGTGAGGAAATGCATAATTAATAAGATGTTATATATAATTAGTGAATGATTAATTAATTAATAAAATATTTAAGATTTATTAAACTTAAAAGGGTAAAAATAAAAATCAAAAGTTTTGATACGTCAATCCTTTTTTATATGTAGTATAGATATAGATAGCGTTGGAAGCTTTGTTCATGAAAATGCAATTTTGCCTTTGTGAATAGTCCCACATTGGAAAATGAGATGAATAGTAAATGGTATATAATGGTTCTCTCCTTATTGGCCTTTGAATAGTGTTTTGGGTTTTGTGGGCTTTGCATTTCTACCACACGCGCGCGCGCACGCACGCCACGCCTCGCCGCACCGCACACGCACACCTTTTTGCTTCTCAAGTTTTTATTTTTGCACGTTTTACACGTTCTGTAACGGCTGCATGCGGGTAACAGAAGTAAGATTTGTGCGTAACGGTCCCTTGGATTCAGCGGGGGTTACACTTCTCCTCACCTATATAAGCAGGCTTGGAGCTCATTCAGAAGCACACCAACGAAGAGAAAAACTTCTAAACTCTCTTCTCTTCTCTACTCTCATACCTCCAAGAAATTTTGGCTACATATTTATATTTCTATTTGCTGGGCAACCGTTTTCGTCTGAGCATAAGCTCTGTGACTCACGCCCGAGTGCAGAGGCCGGCCGATTCTGGGGGTTTTTACCGCTAAAGGAGAGAGGACAAATTGCGCCAGGGCGATAGACGAGTCCTTAATCTTCTAGATTGCTGTCAAAACAGGGATATAAAAATATAAAACAAATTAAAGAGTTAGAAAATTCAGGCAATCTGATCAGGAATTGCACATAAGTCCAATTCAAGTTTACTAGTTTAGGTATATGTAATCTGATCGGGAGCAAATATCCACGTCTGTAATGACCGCTCTTGGTTTTCAAATTATCAGGAATCACGTGGAGGAAGCATAAGCTTAGCAGATGACTCCACTAAATCAATAATAGGAAGTGGAAGTATAGAGCTCTCCATGACTTCTGGAAAATCTCTTCATCTGCAAGGCGTTTACCATGTTCCTTCTCTCCGTCGCAATCTGATTAGTGAATCTCTTCTTCTTAGAGCTGGTTATAGGATTGTAAAAGAATCCAATAAATTTGTGATTACAAAGAGTAATGTTTTCATAGGAAAAAGTTTTATCTGTAATGGCCTTTTCAAACTCAATGTAATTAATTCCAGTTCTAATGAAATTTTTGAGTCTTCTATTATTCAAATTGTTGAGTCTTGTGATGTTTGGCATGGACGACTTGGACATGGAGTCTTCTATTATTCAAATTGTTGAGTCTTGTGATGTTTGGCATGGACGACTTGGACATGTCAATTTCTAAACATTGCAGAGAATGAGTAAATTAAACCTCATTCCTAAATCTTCTCATGATTCCTCATCTAAGTGTGAAATCTGTGTTCAAGGGAAACACACTAAAAAACCCTTCAAGTCTATAACTAGAAACTCTGAACCCCTCGAATTAATTCATAGTGATGTGTGTGACTCTAACCGAGTTCTCACCCGAGGGGGTAGGAGATATTTTGTGACTTTTATAGACGATCACTCCAGATATTGTTACACCTATCTTCTCAAAACTAAAGATGAAGTCTTAGATAGGTTTAAGGTGTTCAAAGCTGAATCTGAGAACCAACTTGACAGGAAGATCAAGATTCTAAGATCTGATCGTGGGGGGGAGTATACCTCAAATCATATGACTGAATATTGCCAAGAACACGGTATTATTCATGAGGTTACTGCTCCCTATACACCACAGTCTAACGGGGTAGCTGAACGAAAGAATAGAACCCTAATGGACATGGTGAACTGTATGTTACTCAGTTCAGGAGCACCTGAAAATCTCTGGGGTGAAGCTCTTCTTTCTGCTTGCTTCATTCTCAATAGGATTCCCCAGAAAAATTTCGATACAACTCCTTATGAATATTGGAATGAGAGATCTCCTAATCTAAATTTCTTCAGGGTTTGGGGTTGCTTGGCTAAAGTAGCTATTCCCGAACCTAAGAAGAGAAAATTTGGTTCTAAGACTGTAGATGCTGCTTTTATTGGATATGCACTAGATAGCAATGTTAACAGATTTTTAGTCATCAAATCTGAAATCAGTGACATATCCAACAATACCATCATTGAAGCAAGAGATGCAGTCTACTTTGAAAACATCTTTCCTTTCAAATCTAAAATCTCAGAAAATCCCAGATCATCCATTCCTTCTGATCTTCCATCTTCCAGTTCTTTTCAACCTCTTGATATTGAACCTCGAAGAAGCAAAAGAGGTAGAATCGAAAAGGATTTTGGAGAAGACTTCCTTACCTTTCTTGTTGAAGGTGATCCAAGCTCATTCCAAGAAGCAATGGATTCACCTGAATCTCCTTTATGGAAAGAAGCCATTGATAATGAAATTAAATCTATCATGAAAAACCATACTTGGATACTCACCGACTTACCTCCAGGTTGTAAACCTATTGGTTGTAAGTGGATATTCAAGAAGAAACTCAGAGCTGATGGTTCCATAGATAAATTTAAAGCTAGATTAGTAGCTAAAGGCTTTACTCAACAAAAGGGCATTGATTATTTTGAAGGCTATACTCAACAAAAGGGCATTGATTATTTTGATACCTATTCTCCTGTAGCCCGAATCT